TATAACAGTACCGTCTGGGATGGGAAGCAGGATGTGTATTGGATGTGATGTAACAGTGTTCCAGTCGTCAGAAAATGGCAGTCTGAATTTGTTGCTACATCAATACAATATAGCTACATACAGTTAGTTGTTTACAGATTAGCTTAGGGAACTTAACCTGAGTCACAATTCTGGGAACTTAATCTGAGTCACAATTCTGGGAACTTAACCTGAGCCTGAATTCTGAGATCTTAACCTGAGTCACAATTCTAGGAACTTAACCTGGGCCTGAAGTCTGAGACCTTAACCTGAGCCACAATCCTGGGAACTTAATCTGAACCTGAATTCTGAGATCTTAACCTGAGTCCCAATTCTAGGAACTTAACCTAAGCCACAATTCGGAGAACTTAACCTGAGTCACAATTCGGGGAACTTAACCTGAGTCACAATTCTGGGATCCTTACCTGAGCCTGAATTCTGAGACCTTACCCGCAGTCTGGTGGTACACCGTTGCTCTTCTCAAAGCATATTAGTCTTTGTTAACGGGTTTGGACACCTAGAAAACATCAATGGTCTATGTACTCCTAGCTGACATGTAAAAAGCATTTGACAGAGTTCACCACGGGATATTACTTCAGCACCTGTCTGTTCGTGGCACGCCCGCGAAGAAGATTTGCAGCTATTTGCCTGGCAGAGCACAACGCGTGATCGCCAACGACAGGTGTAACAACTGACGTAACATTGTTACACTTGCCACTATCTACACTTGCTGTTATACTTGTTTCTAGTTTTATATGTCGACCAGAACCACATTGCATGAGACTACTGACAACACCGGATACGCGTACGATATCAACCTGTCTAGAAACATCCCCTGTGCTAAGGTCGTGACGGACAGCACAATGCAAGAAGAGGCTCTACAGCTGGACTCCTGACAAATCCTATGAACTTAGAATATGTTTTGCTAGAAATCCTCCCAAGCCCCCCCCCCCCTCATCTTAGGAGAAACAGAAGTGCCAGTGGTCGACTGTGCAACTTAGCTGGGTTTTAAGGTACATTCCAACCTTGGATGGGACTGTCAGATCACACATGTAACTAGGAAGGCATCCAGGCGCCTACACTTCCTCCGCCTTCTGGCCAAGGGCGGCGTGCCTCCTGAAGACCTGGTCACTGTGTACAGGATCCTTGTACGGCCGGTATTAGAATATGCAAATGTTGTATATGTGGGGTGTACTGAGTCACAAAGAAAGACTCTCGAGGCTGTACAAAATCGAGCCATGAAAATCGTAAACAAAAACAACATCAGCCCGACGTCTGTACCGCTGGTTCCGCCCACACTTCAGTTACGGCGGGAGGAAGCAGCGAGAACTCTACTTACCCAGATGCGGGCAAGCCACCCCCTGCACTACATGGTCACCAGTGACAGGAGGGAAGAAACTAAAAAGGACGTTATAACCACCTTTCACTGCCTAAATGCCGAAATAAGAGTCTGAAACGATCGTTCTTATACCAATAAATACTACTGTATAAGGAATCTCTCAAATGAATCCACCCGTATTTTGTAAATGTGTAATATGATGTATATTGACAATGTATAATGTATTATTTCAATGCTATTATTTTAAAATTGGAAATTTGTAAATGATGTCAATGTAAAGAAATGGTTTTTAAGGTTTTTAATGGTCTTTGTAATTCGAAAATGTTTTTTGTAAATTAGCGCTAGATTGTCGGAAATCTGTGAAATGCTAATAAAGCTTTCTTATGTTTAAAAAAACTGAAGAAGGCAAAAGTGTGTGTATGGAAGACACAAGTCAGTGTAGGAATGACAAAAGTCAATGTAGGGAAGACAAAAGTTACCTGTGGAGAAGAAAAAAGGTCAGTGTAGGGAAGACAAAGTCAGTGTAGGAAAGTGAAAAGTCAGTGTAGAATATGCAAAAGTCAGTGAAGGGATGACAAAAGTTATTGTAGAGAAAACAAAAGTCAGTGTATGGGAGGCAAAAGTCAGTGTAGAGAAGACTCCAGTCAGTGTAGAGAAGACTCAGGTCAGTGTAGGAAAAAAATTAATACAAACGTCAGTGTAGGGAAGACAAAAGTCAGTGTAGGGAAAATAAAAGTCAGTGTAGGAAAGACAAAATTTAGTGTGCAGAAGACTGTCAGTGTATGGAAAACAAAAGTCAGTGTAGAAAAAACCCAAATCAGTATAGGAAAGACAAAAGTTATTGCACGAGGAAGACAAAAGTCAGTTTAGGGAAATAAAAACTCAGTGTAGGATAGACAATAGTCAGTGTGAAGACAAAAGTTATTGTGGAGGAGACGAAAGTCAGTGTATGGGAGACAAAAGTTAGTGTAGCAAAGACAAACGACAGTGTAGCGAAGACAAAAATCAGTGTGGAAAAGACAAAAGTCAGTGCAGGGAATACGAAGGTTATTGTTAGACGGATAAAAGTCAGTTTAGGGAAGACAAAAGTGATTGTAAGGAAATCGAAAGTCAGTGTAGCGAAGACTAGAGTCAATGTAGGGAAGACCAAAGTCAGTGTAGGAAAGTTAAAAGTCAGTGCAGGGAAAACAAAAGTTATTGTAATAAAGATAAAAGTCAGTTTACGGAAGACAACAGTCAGTGTCGAGAAGGCAAAAGTCAGTGTGTGGAAGTGAAAACATATTTGTTTAAAGTTAAAACTTTGAAGACAAAAGTCAGTGCAGGGAATACGAAAGTTATTGTAAGACAGATCAAAGTCAATTTAGACAAGATTAAGTGTAGGGAACACAAAAGTCAGCATAGAGAAGACAAAAGTCAATGTAGGGAGACAAAAGTCAGTGTAGGGAAGACAATTTTAGTGTATGTAAGACAAAGTCATTCTTTTGAAGACAAAGTCAATGTATGGACGACAAAATTCAGTATAGGAAAGACAAAAGTTATTGTAGGGAAGACGAAAGTCAGTGTAGGGAAGACAAAAGCCAATGTCGGGAAGACAAAAGTCATTGAGGAGACAATATTTAAAAAGTACACCAAAAATACACTTATCATATTTTCGCACTCTACTTTATGCCAATTTATTTTTATCGATTTGGTCTAAAGAAAGAACTTAGACCTAGTCGTTAAAATATCAAAGTAAGGCGAAGAAACATCAGACTACAATATTCTTTTTAATTCTATACTTGTGGTATGGGCTGGAATATTACGATACAGGCTATTACGTAAAAGGATACTGTTTTATTGTAGCAGTACAGTATGCTGTAAATGTAAACAGAAGTCAAGCAGGTGAGCTAAGCTTTAAACGTCTATGTAAAGTCGACACACCGGTATAGTAAGTGTTGCGATGACACCCAGTGATTACGTCTGCTTGACTCATTTGTTTAGCTGTATGATGACATGCAGACAGGCTAACTCAGTTATTACTAGGATTTTCGAAGGAAAACTTTGAACTTTGAAAAGCGTCTTTGGGTAAGTATTGACATGCATATATCCATTTTAACAGTTGGGATTTTTTTTAAATATTGGGCAACATTGGTTCTATAGCAGTTGCTCTATACATTGGGCGAAAATAAGGAAAATAACACTAGTTGCTTGAATTTATTATTTCACTCCATGGAGTGAAATACTGTTTTTATGGCTTCACCACTATGTGGTAAAGTCATATTGTCTTTTCTCGTGTTTCTTCCTCTTCTCCTGCCATTCGTTAAATGGATTCAATTTCTTTATTTTTGTGTCAAATGACATGAAATTTGGCATGAAGGTAGAGTAGCCAAATACCCCCAGGATTTTTGTTTCCTTTTTTTGAAAAACTGTTTTTTTTTTACATTCTCATGCAACAAAATATACATTTTGGGCTCTGGAGCCCTGGTAATAGAACAAAATGACCTGAAATTTGGTATGGAGATACCTTGAACATATGTCTACAAAACCGCATTCAAGCTTTTGACATGAAAAATAGGGCTTTTTGGCTATTTTCGGCCAAAAAATGTACATTTTTGGCCCCTGTGCCCTAATAATAAATCTCCCCACACTTTGTAAAACTTTGATAGAGGAACACGTTGGCCAGGTATGTCACGTTTGTCCGTACGATCCTTTACATGTTTCGTTACAATTGCATTCACATCTGGTTCGTTCGATAAAGTATCGGGTTACAAGACGCAATTTTGGGCTAACCGTAAACATTTCAAAATAAACAAACTAGTATTAAAGGTAAATTTCGTTGAAATAAAATAAAATTATCGTCTTAACATACATTCAATGATGATTTTTTGCGCTAAATGGATGATTTTTTTCGGATTTCTTTAAAAAGTCGATAATTTTCGGGATTTCGGAGCGCCATATTTTAGCCAAGGAGCAAGCCTGCCTACACATTACGCAAGATCACTGATTTTTATATTTTTCGACGACTAGGAATAAGATGAAAAATCGTGTTTTAGGTATTTTTTAAATTTCTTACTTTAAGTATAGTTTTTGTCGACAAATAGGTGAAAAAATCGATTTTTTTTGCTTTTTTCACACTCAATTACCCATAATTCAAAACCAAGCGCATAATTAAAAAATCCCTAAAGCACGATTTTCGGGAAAACTGTTACAGTCATTTTGAGCCGTAAATGGGGTATGTTTGACTCTCCATTCTTTTAGGTTTGAACGAGTTTTGCAGACATGTCATATCTCTCAAAAGTGTGCATCGTGTTATTCATAAAGGCGTAAAGAATTATTACAGTATTCCAGGTCACCCAAGGATACGACAGTAGCTTTGCTACAAATCGAACATGATTGAACACAGTTCGGATTCTTTGAAATGTGGGAACAGCCCAGATTTTACCACCGTGACTATTAGTTGTGTTTTTTTAAAGTATAGACCTAAACGCAAGTATATGTTTGATGTTGTTTTCGTTCTTTACAGGTATGACCAGGAGCTGGAATTACGCTGCATTCGCTGTTTTTTTTTTCTGGTATCTCATTTTAGTGTTGTTTTTTGGTTCATAAAGGCATAGGTGAGCTTGGCAGAGTGGTGAACTCAATGCACTGTATGTGTAGCAGTATAGAATTTTAAACGTAGGTATGAAGCGTTTGCATGTCATTATAATAATGTTATGTTATGTAATCGCATCATTTACCTAGATCATTAAATTTGGAACTTCCCAGAATGGATCACAGGGCATTGCAATAGAATAGTATTCCTAATATTTAATAATGAAAAAGATACTTAAATTTAAGTCATGTATAGTTGACTTTTTGCCGTAGTATACAATGTTTACATTTAGATGTTTAAGGGTTTAAGTCGTGCGGTGTAGTGCAGCCAGCTGCCGCCTCGCCGCGTGCCTGCGAAGCCGGTTACGCCGAAGGGAGGTTATACCGGCTATACCAATAAAGATACAGATACAATTTGTTTCCCTATATTTTGTTGCAGGGACTCAAGGAAGGCTTACGCCGTTAGCATGGGATTCAAAATCCAGTGTTTTTTGTTCTCAACGCTAATTGTGGGCTTCATAATAGCAATGAATATGTTCAAGAATTCTTTAACTGAAAAAGGTCCACCTTACTCATGGAAGCATGGATTGCGAATTAGGACAGGTATGTTCAGCCTTTCACAAACCCAAAATAACAATCTGCAAAATAATCTACAATAAATATAGAAAAATTATAAATGACATAGCAAAACCATTGAGAGCTTTGTATACTTCACCAAGGTATGTTTGAGACATGGAGTTTGAAAAAAGGATGTTCTGTGATTAAAGATAAAGAGGTTTAAAATACAATTGCTAGCTAAATGTTGCCATCTAACTTACGTTTGTCTAAACGCGTGTTGTGTTGTTTTAGGTACGTATGTCGGTGATGACTCGGGAGCTAGTATTATTTATTCCCGTTCCAAGAAATATCCATGTGTGACATCCGACACCTTGTTAACATCTGTTTGCCCCGGAAGTAGGCTGCCCCCTATCAACAACAGAAAAAAAAAAACATTGGGTCGTTCAGTACCCCTTTGCATACATATACATTCGCACCACACCTTGGCACTTGATATTTCATTGCTTTCATCCCATACAATAGTATTGATGAAATATATTACTTTTTCTACCGAAAAGCCCTTAACCCTCAACAGTACACCTTCCCGGACTGATAAATCTGTACACCTGGGGTCCGCGCGGACCCCAGAACAGTTATTTGCTAATTTTTAGAAATTATCAACATGCTACCAGCTCAATTGTTTTGTAAATCGATGTGTAAACCTCTGAGTCTACATTACGTGAAAAATCATACATTTTGACCTTTTCCTATCTTTTGGTAAAGAAAAGACAAAACGAAGAAAAACCTGATTTTTAAACCCTATTCAGACCGCGAGTGGTCATTTCAGGCCCGCGCCAACTTTAATCTCAAATAGCGCCTAAACGGCTTGAGCTAGAAGAACCATCAAATTTGGTAAGCTTTCCTAAAATGTATCTTGAAAAAATTCCATATTGGTTAAATAACTTAATGATTTTTTGTGTTGCAATGGCAACGGGTTTCTGACAGTTTTTTTTAATCAGTAATTTTGGTTTGAACATAAAAATTTTCTGGGCTTTATATAAAATAACACTTTAAAAACATCTTACATAATTAGAGTTAAATCATTTGATATTCATAATATATGCTAATTTGATGACGTTATTGGTCAAAATCCAATATGGTGGACCATATTATTAGCTCTGACGTCATATGACGTCATAATTACACCAAAGTTGTTAGAATTTAATTCTATTAGTACATTATTCTATGAAAATTTGGTGACCATACGATAAGTGCATAAAAACATATAAGAACGGAAATAAAGCAGCAATGTATAAAAACGCCAGTGTATCCATTACGATCGAAAGCCGGCTGGGGTCCGCGCGGACCCCAAAAGAAAATCAGATATAAAAATTTTTAAAAATGTGGGAAACTGAGTTTTCTGCATTTTAATGACGGACAACTTTGTGGGTGACAATTACCTGAAATTTCAGAAAAAAATCTTTAGAAACAAAACAAAACAAAAAAATATTACAGCATATATAGTGCTGGGGTCCGCGCGGACCCCAGGTGTACTGTTTAGGGTTAACAGGGATTTTGAGAAAACTAATAATGAAAAGCCCTGAATAAAGCTATGTTTAAAAACACTTAATATTGAGGAGCACAACAAAGGCGCTTTGAGAATACTTGTTACTTAAAGAACTACGTTGGGCTTTTAACCATTCTTCTTACTGAAAAGGGAATTTCCACAATAAATATATACTGAAAACCGCTACATGATAGCTTCTAAGTTACAATTACTAAGAGGCACTGTATGGGGTGTTGGACATGGGATATTAAAACACTATATTTTTGAGCACAGGATTGGGTGGAATGTGTTGTATTTTTTCACGCCAGTGTTTCTTGTGCTGAAATCATGGTACAGACGAATTCCTAACTTTTTGCTTTTTTTTCAAATGAAGGTGCTTTAAAAAATCAAGAAAACCCATTCATTTATGACCAGAAGCAAAGACAAAGAAAAGCCTTAATAGACAACTATTGCAAAAGGAATGTATCTGGATATCATGTAAGTAACTTTGTTATATTGTACATCAAGGGTGTTTATAAGGCGTTCGATACCTAGAGTTAGCCTCTACCAGGCTTGAGGAGGCGGCTGGAAAGAGTAGAAATCGGCCAAAATAGAGAGATAAGCATGTCAAGGGAGTTTGTCCGTTGAGAGAACAGTTCGCCGCACCCCAAGCCTGTCGGGAGTCGACACGATCAAACGGCATAAAAGTAATCCACTCATTAATCCAACAAAAGAACTATCTCAGCGCAGAAGATCATTTAAGCAATAAACCAACCAGCACGTCGTGGGGAGCCGCGTCCATGTGTATTCGTCTGGAGAAGACAGCCGGCGGGTACTATGGTTAAACAAACTGTATGTTGTCAGGAATGAAAAACTACTATAGTTATACTGATATTGGAAATAATATTAGGTAACACGGATTATTGCCGGCTTCACCGCACGATAATTTTTAAGTGTGCCGGGTACGGCGCGGCCATTGTACTCCGGCGCGGCCATTGTACCCCACACCGCTAGCGACAGGGAAGCATGCGGGCTGAAAACGGGGGCTCATGCTGCTTATCCACCAATATCTTGATCGGCAACATGGTCGGGACGGTCTTGAATATTATAGGGTTCTCTTTTCTTGGAGTTTTGTGTTTCTTTTGATGGGAAAATGTACCACTGTGGACTTTAAATTTTCGTGACCTCTCTGAAACTTCACACGGCCGTTCGTCACTGTCCGTCACGGCCCAGTCGCAAAGCAATAAAAGTGTAATTTAGCTACTTGGCACCTATAAGATAGCGATTAGTGGACTTCAAAGAAATGCGACTCCCGACAGGCTTGGGGTGCGGCGAACTGTTCTCTCAACGGACAAACTCCCTTGACATGCTTATTTCTCTATTTGGCCGATTTCTACTCTTTACAGCCGCCTCCCAATAGTTATGTAGCTTTCTTTCATTTTTCTTACCGATTGGCTGTTGGAATTTAATCGGATTAACTGCATCAACACTTGCACCAAGCTATGTCACATATTGACCATATGAACTGCAATTATGTGCAGGACATCAACTTTTTTAGTCTTAAAAATTAAGTTTGAATTTTGCAGATAAAAACCCTTACCAAAAATGTTGGGGATAGCTATCCAACTGTTTTAGTTATATATCATTTCATACATTAGTTATATTGATGAAACGCGTTGTTTTCCCTTGTGTTTCTGCCATTTCGTAAAATGGGTTCAATTAGGTGGTCAAATGACCATTTGCAATCTCCAAGCAGATACAGGGAAGCATGGGTAGGTAATCTTCGAACAGGCCTTTAAGCAGATACAGGATCCTGTCAAGAATACAAAAAAATGGATTAATGACAAGGTGATCCTTGAAAGCGCTATTTGGGGATGTCGAGAACTGTCTTACTGAAATGCATGGTATGGGGTTTTTGAAAACACATAATATTGAAAAGCACAACATCAGGAAAATACTAGTTACTGAAAAGGCATTGTATGGTGGTTTCGATGATTTTTACGCACTATGGGGGTTTCGTGATTTGTAATTAAAAGCACTTTGTGGGAATTGAGGACTACATGGTGGTATGGAAGCACTTGATATTGAGGAGCACTACATGGAATTTCATTTTGGAACAGTATATTTTGGAATGAAAGTACGGATTGAAAAACGCTATATTTGCTCCCGGGTAAATGTCTGCCTTTCTAGTTTTACCTAACTCTTATAGACACTAAGAATAAGGGACTCATTCAAAATTTAGATATTTACCTGTTCACCTAAATAATTATGGCTTCACCACACTATATGAAACATATTGTGTCCTCTGGTGTTCCTTCTTCTTCTTCCTCCTCCTCTTCTGCCATATCTTTAGATGGATTCAACTCTCCCATTTCCCAGCCAAATGCCCTAAAAACGGTCTTTTCTAGTTCATAACTAGTTTTCTAAAGGTTACTTACGGTCGACGTAGTTTGCCTGGGTCAGGGATGAATTTTAAAATATTCTGTATTTGCCATCATGTTAAAATCTAAATATCAAAACTTCAACGTGTTGAAATTAAGTTCAACGTTTTACTATATAACCTCAACATCTATATTTCGTTTTTAGGTTCCACCCGAACGGTATCCGATGCATTTCTTTGTCAGTAAAAAGTACAAAGTATTGTACTGCAAAGTAGGTAAAACGGGCAGCACGACAACGAATACGCTGATAACCAACTTGGAGTATGGAACCAATTTAAGCCAGCGACAGTATTGGAAAAATCGACGTGTCCTTCCATTAAAAAAGTTTGCTTCGTACTCGAAAAATGAACAGAATCTAAATCTCAGCGCATACAGGAAACTCTTAGTGGTGAGAAATCCACTGGAAAGGTGAGTGTTAAACAAGCACATGGATTATTTTGTTAAATAGTTAATACGGTTAGTGGTGTGAAGGTGTAGTCGACGTTCTGTTGCTATATTCACGGAGGGATCATGCTACCCTCTTGCCCTAACTCCTTTAAAAGGAATAACTGACAGTGTAGGCCTTACAATAAACCCAATTGAGTGATTCTGGTCATGAGGTCAAACCAGTGTACTTTTTTTTCGGCATCCCTCAAAACTCGTGAATGGCATATCGTATGGCCACCAAATGTTAAGTGGGTGGTTCTAGTTAACACTAAATTGACGTAAACCGACATCATTATGGCGTAATTCGTGTGATTTTATTGCCTAAAACCATAAGTTAGGTAGGTTATTCTCGTAACACTAAGTATTATACAACACAGGAAGGAAGGTCTCCCGTGCTCTTATGCTGAGTGTAGGGTAGTGCCCATCTTCATTTCGTAGCCCTTGGCATGGGCGACACACAGCTGTGCAAGGCACTACAGCAAGGGGCTAGTCCGCTGGTAGTGCTGTGTGTTTGACCCTCCCACACTCTTTCTAATATGTGCTGAGTGCTAAGCAGAGAAAGAAGTGTTTGGTATGACCAAGCCGGGGTTTGAACTCACGAACTCCAGGTTACAAAGCGAGCACTCTACCAATTAAGGTATTGCAACGGTATCATACAATGTCAATGACGTCATACATATTCAAACTATCCGCCATTTGGATTATCAATCTTGAATTGTCGATTTTTGTTTCTTGAAGATAAAGCTTAACAAATAAATATTGACTAAATATGTTCAAATTGACCTTTAATGTAAAAAATAGCGAAATAGTGATAAAATTTAAAGGAAAAAAAGCCAGAATGTAACTCATCTAATGACATGCTCCACATCTTAGATTTTAACTGTAAACATCATCAAATTAGCATACATTATGTATAATTATTGATTATATTTACACAAGATGTTATTAATATTAGAAAGCATGTGCAACTTAACATATCAGCCTGAAAAATTACTGTCTAAACGAAAATTACTGACTTTCGCAAAAAAATGCTTGTCAATTGTAAGAACACGAGACTAGGTCGATACTAGGTGTAGACCTTCTGGCTAACTGAGTCTCCTTGCGGAGCAGGGGTACGTAGGGCTTGGTCAGCTCCAAGCTCGCGAGAAAAATTCACTCCGTGATAAAGACGCACGGTAGACGTCGTAAATTTGGAGATGTGGAGACGTGTTTTGTTACCATTTGAAAAAGTCACTGATAGAATAATATTCTAGTAACTGATAAACCCCTTTAACAATAACTTTACCGAGAATTTTATGTTTGGTAGACTTTGTTAGTATACATACAAGAAAATACAAAAAGAATGAACAACAAACTATTATTTGCCATGCCATACTCTGTGTGTTTAGTCATTTGTTCAACCTTCATGACCACGTAGATTTTATAATCAAGGCAACTTATTTTTGGGTGAAACCATTTTTTTTATTTCCACACTCTCGTCAGTTTTGGGGTTCCCACAGAATGCCATCCATATATTCAAATCAATATGGCCTAAGAAGCAAAAAACATCATAGTGGACCTTGCAAAACTTGGTGGACCGGAACATTTATAACAACACAAAATTGCATCGTATTACGTACAGAAAATGCGAAAAAGTATAGTAGTTCTTGTCGCTGTACTAGCAAAGTAAACATTCTACTGTGAGCATGGACACTACAACTCATGTTTCTGCGTAAAAAGACGAGAGCAATATTCAAGGACAGCCTTAACAAAAAGGCTATTTAAGCACTTTCTTATAAATTAGGCAAATGAGGTGATTTGATTACATTATGTTTATTGATTTTTCTATTTTACTCAACTTCCAAATGCAGCAAGTATGAAAATCCCAGGAGTCACAACTAAGAAATTATAACAATTTCCCATTAATTATAAAAATTGGGTCTTTTACATAATCTATTTCCTCATCAATTTTCTAGTTCTCAATTACATATCACAAGTGTTTCTTCATCTTCATCTTTGCCGGGGCTCTAAGATATTGTACAAGCCCCGGCTGCACCCCCATATAGCGCCTGTTGGGGCACTTTAGGAGGGGGAGGCCTTGGTCTAAGGCGGGCAGGCCTCCAGCCTGGCCCGGAAGGACTCAACGGTGGGAGCCATGGTTACCGGGCCAGGAAAGGCGTTCCATTGTGGGATTGTGCGGGGGAAAAGGGAATATTTATAGACGTCTGTACGTGCGTGTATTGGTTGGTATTTATACTGATGACTCCCTCGGGTACGCCCCTGAGCTGGCCTGAGCAGTTTATCTGTAGGGATAACAGTAATCTTATGCACTATTTTGTAAAATGTTGTTTCATAGTCCTATTATCGAACGAAGCAGATTTCTATAAGTTTTTCATTAATTATGCATAAAAGCTCCTGATTTGCATAATTGTCATCTGATTATGTCAAGCATCACTTCATTTACCTACATACTAAAATCATGACAATCCGTCAATGGTCAATGGTTTTTTAGTTATCCTTCTTCGGAGATATTTCAAGAAACACCTCTTTAGTTCCAGAACAAGCAGCTAGGGGCCCAAACTCATAACACTTCTTCCTTAGCCAGAGAGCTACTTACCATTCCAAATTTGTGACCCTAGCATGTCCAGATCATGAGATATGCTGCAACAACAAACCGCCAGGGGACCAAAATCTCATCATTTCTAGGTGTCATCAAGACCTACCCTCCTACTAAGTTTCATGGCTATGCATATAAAGCTTCTTGAGTTATGTTAACAAACAGACCAACACACAAACAGACAGACGGACAAACGCTACTAAAAACACAACCTTCTTGACGAAGGTAAAAATGTCATGTTTTATTCAAATGTACTGACTGAAATAAGATGTTTTCTAGGTACATGTATGTTGAATAACCGTTGCCTATCGTTTATTTAGACTTGCTTCTGCGTACTTCTATTTTTTTGGAGGAAAATATGTGTCCGCACCACGGCAGATAAATTACAGCAAACAGTATCAAGGGATGTTGGGAACAATCTGTTCAAATGCATCAACAATGAAGGTAATTACTCGTGAATGTTTTTGTCAATGGTACAATAAGAATTTTATTATTCAAACGATCTTGTGTAAGTTTTTTTTTGCGGTAAGGTGGTAATTATGTAGTATCTCAGCATACCAAAATGCATAATGTACCATGATATGCCATAGTTATTGTGTACATACGTGACGTTTTATGTACGATTTTCTAAATTATTCCTAACAGGAAACATTATTCTTTAGTGAAAAGCGATTTGATTTCATTCATTAGCTGTATAATATAATACAGAAAGGCCTGCCTAACTAAATGGAGGCCAATTTTGACGAGCTAGCCATGGTTACCGGGCAATATACAACAATTACAGTTAAATATGCTTTTACGTGGTGACGTGGTATATGGGTGCCTGGGTGCTATCCTCCAGAGTTACCACCGGCTCCGTATTTTCACTAGCTACCATGGACTACCCAGGCCTAAAGTCAGGCCAGAGCCTAGGAGGACGTGATCTTTTTTTTCTTTTTTTTTCGCGAACAGGCGAAAATGAATATGCACGCGGATGTCATCCATGAAATGAAGTCGGTGTAGCTTAAGTGTAATATTAATGATAGCGTGAGATAGGTTTCCATACCTATCGGACATATGTGTATGCTCTATATGCAATATGCAATATTAGGACAAGTCATCTAATACATGTGTTTGTTACCAAATTTTCATACAGTATTTGTCATTCGTCAATACCTACTGTTTGTTTTCGCCCTGACCAATTCGTACGCTGTAACGATGGCACGGTAGTACGTACGTACATTCCATGTTTGCTTGGTATACGCCATTCCATACCATGGCTTACTGTTTGTGATCTTTAATGAAGAAAGCACTAAAGATTGGATAGAGGTTATAGCACTAAAGACTGGCTAGAATTACTTCACATCGGTGTTCCATATACATACGAGTAGTGCAGTGCATTAACCCTATCTAGACCGGGCTTTTTTCAGCAAGATTTGACCGGGGGGGGGGCTCTTTTGACCCCCCCTCAGAACTCGCTAACGGTATGTCGTATGACTACCAAATTTTTAAAGGATGGTGTACTAGTAAAAATTTATCATATCTAAAATTTTTGTGTCATTATGACGTAATATGACGTCATTATGACGTCATTAATAAGATTTTATTGGCCAAAACCGTCTAGATAGGCTATTCCCTGAAAACTAAATGGTATAACAACATAACTTTACCAAAAGTGTTTATGACAGAATATTAGGGTGTACTAAGTCTTATGTTGCCCATAGCAACACCGGTGACGTCATAAAATGATACATATCTAAGATATCCGCCATCTTGGATCATCAATGTTGAATTTTCAAAAATAGTTTTTTTTTTTCGTGATAAAGCCTAAGATACATTGTAAACATACTAAAGACCTTCATTGATACCTTTTTGAAAAAAAATGGAAGTATTGATGAAATTTTAAGGAAAATAGCCTGTATATACCTGTTCTAATGATATGGTCCGCCATCTTGGATTTTGGCCAATGACGTCATCAAATTAGCATAAATTCTGCATATTTAATGATAAAATTTACATAAAATTACATGGGATGTTATTAATATTAGAAACCATGAGTAACTTGACATAAAACCTATAAAATTCTATTGTTGAAACAAAAATTACTAAATTTAGCAAAAAATGCCTGTCAGAAACCTGTTGCCATGGCAACACAAAAAATTTATTATGCTATTCCAATGATAGAAAATTGTTGCCAACAATATTTTAGGAAAAGTCACCAAGTTTGGTCGTTCTAGCCCTAACCGTTCCGATGCTATGTGACATCAAAGTTGGCGCGGGCACTTTTAGCCCCCCCCCCGGTCTAGATAGGGTTAAGCCAATGCCATCACAGCAAACTTTTGTATCAGCTCTTAACAAACGAAAGGAAAAAAAAAATTATTAGAATAGGGGGGACTTAAACAAGCATCGCGGCTTTTTTCTGCCTTAAGCACGTTCTCTTTTGAATATTTTAGTTAGTTTCTACACTATTTTATTTTGTGTGTTTAATATTTACTCTCTTAAGCCCATTTTTTATCTGCAAAATAGAATTTTCAGAAAGATATATGTATACATGAGAGGGAGAGGTGTAGATAGACAGATAGATTGTATTTTTAGAGCAATCAGCATGAATCATATCGGTTTTTTTATCATTTTCCAATGGTAGTCGTATCTTAAGAAATAAGACTACTCTAGCATTTCGTCATAACTTATGCAAATGAGGTCCTGATTTGAATAAGTTATGTTTAGTGATGTTCACCTTCAGGTTTCGGACCGGTGTTTTCTTTCGTGTTCGGAGCAATTTGACACCCTCAGCCTCGGGCTGTCATTTCTGTACTAAACGCGGGTCGGAATTTTTCACTCTTTAGGTGGAAAAGGGTGCCGTGCCGCTTATCAATACACTTGATTGATATTTTGTGCGACCAATTTATTTAGGGGTAAATAAGGCACATCAAAGTACATTTTTAAGCAAGGGGTTCTTTCTATCGACATTTTTAACCATTACTGCATGGAAAAAACTAATTTTCCCAGGGTAACGGCTAAGCTCGAAGAAGCCCAGTACCTAAGTTTTCCGAAATTTAAATTTAATTAGAATCGATGCGATACGGTTTACCGCTATGTTCGATGGCCCGAACACACCCACAACGCATATCGAACGTACCATCCCGGCGGTCAGTCGTAAAGGCCACATAACAATCCGCGGGGACTAATACCAGGAAGTCTTCGCTGGACCACGAACATTACACCACCTATAAAGGCTACAACTAACAGGATTTTCAGAAAAAACAAAGATATGTAGATATATAGATAAATATGTAGATATTACGATATTAGGGATATCGCGGCCAAAACATACGATACAAGGTCACGTTTCCGGCGATTTACTGAAACTTACATAGACTCTGGTCAGATTAAAACTACGACCCGGAGCCTTCACTAAACATCCGAATAAGGTTTGTGTGGAATTATAATATTAATTCCACTTTAACATCATTATGCAAATTAGATCCTTATCCGCACAATTGTGATTTAATTATATCAAGCATCACTGATGCTACCTACATACCGACAATTATTACGACCCGCCCACTGTTATAGTCTCTCGAAGTTTTTTTAAACAAACCTTCCTGCAGGACAAGCTGTTAGGGTGCCTTAACTCATGTGACTCACAAGAGCTACCTACCATCAGCACGTCGGTAGAACGTTCTGCGCCTGCGCGAAACATGATTTTTCAAGGTTTTCGTTGGGTTTTTGGTTACCGAATTTTGTCTGTTATATCATTTTCGACGGAAACTACAGACGGGATGTTAACCTTATATAGGTTAATAAAACCTTATATGAGACGTTCTACCGCCCAGGTTCTACCGACGTGCTCCTTTTATCAAAAATTCATGACCTTAGCATATCCAGTTTGCGAGATATAAAAACAAGATTTTCCGATGCTGTACCAAGGGATGCCGAGGACCCAAGAGGACCCAAAACCTTATAATTTTCAGTTTTTGTCACATCCTACCAATGGACCAAGTATGAAACCAATCTATTCAGCCGTTCGTGAGTTATCTTGTTGACTGGTATAGAGACAAACGCAACTGAAAATACATGAAAGTAATAAACTAGAATATGCCACGTCAGGTGGTACCGATATCTCTTCTGGCCCGTGGACTAATATATCAGTGTTAGTGTTTCAAACTAGTATAAGGTTAACTTACTACAGGTTAATCGTGTCAGATGTGATAAAATAACCTCTACATAAAAACTAAAATAAGCCTTTTTGTACAGTAATTTTTAATCTTTTACTGTTGAGGCATTCCAGTTTTTCATATTTATACATGTATTATGATAATGAAAATGTTCTCCAACTCAAAGAATTTTACTCCCTCATTACAATTAGGTACTTGGCCAATGTCTATGTTAATTGACTCATGTTGTTTGTTTTATTTCAGACTGCTTGCAGCGAAGACATTAAAACCGTTCAAGTGAAAAACATTTCGTATCAACTGATACCGTTTTTAGCCTTTATTAGAGCTGTAGCAAAAAACGTGACGGAGTGGGAAAATGAGCACTGGGCACTGATATCAGACATGTGCACCCCTTGTCAAGTGAGTGTTTTCAAATTCTTAATTGGGCCTCTTTATCTAGTGTGTGTTTTGTTGTACGCTTGTTCAATACTGTAGTCATAACTTAACAAGGATACGACAAGACTCGATGTGCAAAATACACCAAAATACAGATAAAGGTTTAGCATTTTAAATAGCATTTTCTCATTAATAATGCAAGTTAGGGTTTCATTTACGTAATCAATTATTGCCAAAGTTTGCCTTCTTCATAAGTTTGAATAATCCTATCTTTGAACACAGCAGATTTTCAAAAATTCCTTATTGATTATGCAAATAAGATTTTTATATTCATCAGTTAACCCTCAACAGAACACCTTCCCGGACTGATTAATCTGTACACCTGGGGTCCGCGCGGACCCCAAGACAGTTTTTTGCTAATTTTTAGAAATTATCAACATGCTACCAGCTCAATTGTTTTGCAAACTGATGTGGGAACCTCTGTGTCCACATTACATACAAAAATCATACATTTTGAACTTTTTATTATTTTTTGGTGAAGAAAAGAAGACAAGAAAAAATACCCGATTTTTAAACCCATTTCAGACTGAAGGGGCTTTTGAGGCCCAACTTTGATCTCAGATAGCGGCTAAACGGCTTGCGCTAGAAGTATCAAATTTGGAGACCTTTTCTAAAATGTCTCTGGAAAAAAGCTCATATTAGTTTCATACTAGTAAGTTGATGTTTTTTTGTGTTGCCATGGCAACGGGTTTCTAGCAGGCAGTTTTTTTGGAAAATAGAAGTAATTTTGGTTTAATATTGAATTACACTTCTTTTCCAACATTAATAACATCTTACATAATTAAATATAGGTTAAATCATTTAATATGCATAGAATATGCCAAAATGATGACGTCATTGGTCAAAATCCAATATGGCGGACTATATTGTTAGCTCTGACGTCAAATGACGTCATAATTACACCAAAGTTATTAAAATTTAATTCTATTACTACACCATTCTCTGAAAACTTGGTAGACATACGATGAGTGCATAAAAACATATAAAAACGGAAATAAGGTAATGTATAAGAACGCCAGTGTATCCATTATGATCGAAAGCCGGCTGGGTCCGCGCGGACCCCAAAAGAAAATCAGATATAATTTTTTTTTATAAATGGTAGAAACGGAGTTTTCTTCACTGTATTGAGGGACAACTTTGTGGGTGACAATTACCTAAAATTTCAGAAAAAAAAATCTTTAGAAACAAAAAAGATATTACAGAATATATAGTGCTGGGGTCTGCGCGGACCCAAGGTGTACTGTTTAGGGTTAATTATGTCAGCATCACTTCAGCTTCCTACATACGGAAAAAAGGACGATATTTCAACCGGTTATCCTCGCTCAAATATTCTAAACAAACGCTCTTGTAGCTTTATAGAAAGCCCAGAATTGTGTCACGTCTTCCCGAGCGCAAGAGCTATCTACTATCCAAAATGCGTGACCCTAGCATGACCAAATTACGAGATAGGAAACCGTCCGTAAGCTCAGCTGCAGTACCATAACAAGCAGCCAGGGGACCGCTACAAAGACCATGTACATTCTGTTTTCTCTCAACCTTTCCACCCCTTCCAGACTTCCAGCTAAATGCGTCAATATGCCTATGAACATGTTCGGACTAACATAAAGTTCAAACAGTTGAAAAGTTTTATATGCGTTCTTGCTATACCTTTTTCTTACCCAACGTTACTACGAGAGTATATAGACTTGTACGGATCCACAATGATGGGTAAATTTTATATACTGTTCAGAGGGGTGTTAGCTCACATACGACATGCACAGACCTCACGCCAGCTATACTTCGTGCAATTTCGTTATCCTTGCGGCCAAACTCTCTTCTCATTACCTCCATAAAAAAACGGAGGTATTGTTTTTGGCGCGTCTGTCTGTGTGTGTGTGTGTCTGTGTGTGTGTCTGTGTGTTTGTGTTTCCTACATTTGTAGTCAGCATAACTTCATAACGCCTTTATGGATTGTGATGATATGTGGTATGCTGATAATTCTTAGGAAGACGAATGTCAATGTCAAAATTGGGCCTCCTGGTGAATGACCTTGATACTGCAGCAGAACTTCCGGTTTTTGTATCTTTTGTCCTGAACATGCTATGGTCTTGAATTTTGTGACAGATACCCTTTCCTGTCAGGAATAAGTGGTGTGAGTTTGGTTCCCCTAGCAGCTTGTTCTGGAACTGCAGTGGACTTTCGGGCGAAATCTTTGAAAGCAAATAAGTCCAGATAGGAACAACGTATTTTCATCATTTTTGGTAGGTAGGTAGCTGAGAAAGAGATGTACATAGATAAATGCAAATTATGCATATGAGGACTTTATTTGCATAATTAATGAGGAAATTCTATAATTACAGTGTTTTACATTATAGTTCTTTCATTCATGTAATGTATGTAACATTTGGCAGATGGAACATCAACAGATACTAATTATGCAAATGATGACCTTATTTGCATAATTAATGCGAAACTCCTATGGTTTCCTAATGGTGAATGATGGGAATCTCATACTTTGGACATCTGTAAGTTAATCAATTATCTATTATGTTAAAGCAGAGGTCATTTGCGCAATTAAAGAAGACATTTACATTTACCTATCAAGCCCATATTTCATGGAGGTATGAGATCTCGGCACTCTTGTTTCTTTTACGAGTCTATTAGGCTACACTGACTTGATTTTATGGATGACATCTCCGCGCGCACTGATTTTCGTTTGTTCTCAAAAGAAAAGATCACGTCCTCCGAGGGTAATAGCCTGGCTCTAGGCCTGGGTTGTCCATGGTAGTAAGCGACAATGCGGAGCTGTTAGAAACTCTGGAGGATAGCACCCAGGCTACCCAAGCTCCATGACTCAAAAACTCAGTACCCATTCATAAATTCCGCAAAATAGCCAGCGCGTACCGGCTGGTCGGAAACGTCTCTATGTAATGCCGCATATTCACAATACCAGCTTTGTTTTCCCAAGGTTTAGTAGCATTTTTATTATTTGGCTGGAATTTTTTTATTCGCTCGTGCGCACTAGTTTGGGAGTCTTCAGAGGATGTCATCCATGAAATTAGGTCGGTGTGGCGTTACCAACTAGGGAAAAGAAGCCACGAAAAAAGGTCGTAATAAAAAGTGATATTATACCATCCACACCATTCTTTCCATGTTTCTTCATGTTTGTATATTGTTAAACAACAATACAGTATGCATCCAGATGTATGACCCTGACAACTATATATATAAAGACTGAACCACGGTTTCATGTCCAATTGCCTAAACTATTTGGACTGTAGATGGCAAACTTACCTACTGAATTTTCTTGACACGTCGTTTGCAATACTGTTTTTCATACTTTTTTAATTTGATAGTATTTGTCTTTAGTGCACTGAGTCTCCTGGAACAATGACAATGTCCTGTTATGCTTGAAAAAGTCGTTCTGAACGGGAGTGTACTCGAATGTTTGAACATTTGATACAGTAGATGGTTTATGATGTTGATAGAAGAAACTGCAAATAACATTTGGATGTGTCTTGGATGTTATTTTTAACAAACTCATGACAGACGAAAACGTACCTTCTCCAAAATCATGACAGTGCCAACAACCCTATCAACAATTTTTGCAACCACCGTTGCCATGGCAATGCATGTTTTCATTGCCAGTCTTGTTTGTTTTTGTTGCCATGGTAATGAGTCTTGGCTGCAGTTTTAGCAAAAAATTCAGCAATTTTGGTTTAAGCAATGAATTTTTCCAGGTTTTTGCTGGGGTTCGTTTTGGCCCTACCGGACCACAAATAAGAGATCGCTTTAGTTACATTTATAAGTATTGGTAGTTTCATAATAGATTATACCATTATCTTAATAACTGTCTTCCATATCTGTCATTTTAGATTCCCTTTGACTTCATCGCACACACGGAGACCTTGGCTGATGATTTAAAGCAATTTTTTCGCAACGTCGGCGTTAAAGGCAGAAATGATATTTTTCCTTATAAAAAAACACGCTTAGGCAATGAGAAACTGTTCAATATATTTAGCCAAATACCATTAACTGACATTCGGCGTATTGGTACTAAATTCAAACCTGATTTTGAAATGTTTGGCTACTCCTTTGAAGCTTTTTTTCTTAATCTTTTGTGAATGTCTGAAGGGCTATACTGAGCTGATTTAACCTTCCTTTCAAGATTTTGAATATGTTTCAAGTTAGTTAAAACTTTTTCTCCGACAAAAGGGAATGTTCTCACAGCTTTTGAACAGTCAATCTGATCTTCTTCTCTACCTAGACCGGGCTTTTTTTGACATGGGGGGACCGGGGGGGGGGGGGCTCTTTTGACCCCCTAAGAACTCGCGAACGGTATGTCGTATGACCACCAAATTTTCAGAGAATGGTGCACTAGTGAAAATTTATCATATCTACAATTTTTTTGTCGTTATGACGTAATATGACGTCATTATGACGTCATTAATGTGACTTTATTGGCCAAAACCGTCTAAATAAGTTTTTCCCTGAAAACTAAATGGTATCCAACATAACTGTACCAAACGTGTTTATGACAGAATATTATGGTGTACTAAGTCTTATGTTGCCCATAGCAACACCGGTGACGTCATAAAATGACGTCATGCATATTTAAGATATCCGCCATCTTGGATCATCAATCTTGAATTTTCAAAAATAGTTTTTTTTATGATAAAGCCTAAAATACATTGTAAACATACTAAAGACCTTCATTTAAACATTTTATGGAAAAAGAAATGGAAGTATTGGTAAATTTAAAATGAAAATAACCTGTATATACCTGTTCTAATGATATGGTCCGCCATCTTGGATTTTGGCGAATGACGTCATCAAATTAGCATAAACTATGCATATTTAATGATAGAATTAACATAAAATTATATGGGACGTAATTAATATTAGAAACCATGAGTAACTTGACATAAAACCCATAAAATTCTATTGTTGAAACAAAAAGTACTAAATTTAGCAAAAAATGCCTGTCAGAAACCCGTTGCCATGGCAACACCAAAAATTATTATTTATTCCAATGATAGAGAATTGTTGCCAACAATATTCTAGGAAAAGTCACCAAGTTTGGCCCTTCTACGGCTAGCCGTTCAGACGCTACGTGACATCAAAGTTGCCGCGGGCACTTTTAGCCCCCCCCCCCCGGTCTAGGTAGGGTTAACCATCAAACACCCGAACGGGGTCCATTTGGACCCCAGACGTATATTTTTATGTGCTATTTGAATTTTTTTTATTCTAACAAAATATCCTCCTGTGACTTTGTCAGTAAACCTCTTCTACAAATTCTCCTAAATTTTTTTGGAGATCGGCACAAATTGAAGTCTGATGTTTCTGAAGTCTGATGTTAGACCGTCTGGGGTCCAAACAGACCCCAGCCATGTATTTGCACTTTCCTACACACGAAATTGTTCGGATGTCCTCAATATGTCTTCAAGGAAGCATTATTGCTTTGATATTATGCAGTTTGCCAAGTTTGCCATTTGGACCCCGTTCGGGCATTAACGTCACAAAAAAAGGTCAGGTGTTTGAGGGTTAATAGATCTAATTGAAATAAAAAAAATGTAGATAGATAAAGATAGATAGGTAGATTGATATAATATAGATATATGCTAAGAAGACATACAGCCACACGGTGGAAGACGAGGACCAATGAATACTTTCGACTAACGAACTTTCTGAACCTGGCGACGACCTGAATTTGAATTGTTTGCTCAACGAAAAAACTGGAGACAATGCAGATATTTGAGTCCCGACGGAACAAAAAAATAACACGCAAGTTTTACGGCAAACTGTTTCACCACAGCAAGGAATTGTCGCATGCCCAGCAAATCACATGGTGTTCGTAACTGTCTACTTGCATTCTAATGCCGGTTGAAATTCTTTGCGCTGATTTTGTTGTGTTTGAAACAAATTTTAACTTATAGATGTACTACCTTATAGATAAACGTCCATTCCAATATTATTAAAACTTACTAAAACCATTATGATATTTGCAATAATTATATAAAAGATACAAAACTTAAATGTAATGTTTTTATGTAGAATCATTTTAATCATTGTTCGCAAAAAAGCTCCTTATGGAATAGTCTTGATAGCTTATCATAATTACTAATTACAAATGATATATATAATAAATGCGGGATATGTCTGTCTTATACATTGTTTTACCTCTTGTTTTCTCTGATGTGTGGGGATTTGAGATCTACAGTAAAAAAATAAAGAAAAGCCAGTTTTTCGATGAAGAGTTATAGTTTTTTTACTTAACCCTATCTACACCGGGCTTTTTTGAGCAAGGTGGGACC